CATGTTATGATTTTGATTGCATTATAATTTTATCTATTGGGTTATAAAGATTTGAAGTCTTTAAGTTTGGTATGTGATTTTTTACATATCGTATGGTTGGTCCGGTCCATTCACTATTGTGTTTTTAAAGTCAAGGTATGTGTTGAAGATGAAAAATAGTACATGTACATCATCCTTTGAAGGAGATATATCTTTATGTGGAGTATTTTTTATTCTTAAATTTGTGTCGGATTCCTTAATATTTCCGTCGTTATTATTACTCATTTTATTTAGTTTTACAATTTTATTACTAAACAAATCTCTCTCAATATATATATATATATATATATATATATGTATATGTGTGTGTGTGTATATTAAAATTTCACTAACTATATTTTATTTAACTTTTTCGAATTATTTGAATATGATTTGTTGATGATTCTATTAACAATTAATATATATTTATATAGACAATCATCATATCATTAATCAAAGCACTCATACTACCGCGCAACGTGCGGTTCCCATACTAGTTGATTATTAAGATTTCATACAGCAATAATTAGTTCTGTTTATTATAATTCTGATATTTTGATTTTTTTTTAAGTATCAAAACAACGAGTTATCATAAGAAAATCCATCATTAAATAAATATAAAATTGTAATAAATAACTAATAATCAAATTAAGAATTTTTTATAATTAATCAATTTAAGAATGGAGGAATGGAGCCATAGAGTTTTACGATGAATAGGGTTAGTGAGATAGTAATTATGTTTCTAGAGTCCTAAGTTAGACCGGGCGTCTCTAATTTTATTCACCGTGATTCCATGAAGAATCTAAAAAAAATCTGCTTTTTGATCAGTGATTCGCTGGCCACTAGATCCAGGGATCTCACCTTATTCTCAAACCGGGTGGTTCGGTTGATTGGAACTCCTTTAGGCTCATTTTGGCGGTCCCAAGTCTTGCATCCACCAAGAACATTTCTTCCTTGTAAGCATAAAACTTGATATTTTTAGGCCTTTCCACTATATAAAAAAACTGGAATTAGATCTACGAAATAATCGACTCAAGATGGTCATCATAAGCTATTTATTTTCCTCCTCTTCCAGTTTTATTAATAAAAAGGCCATTACGGACCAAGATCTAAAGGGGGTACATGTCCTATATACATGCTATTAGTTATTCATAAGTTATGGGTCGTTTACTAAACACTTACTTTGATAAGCGTTTATCAATTCAATTATCTTATTGTGTGAACATAACAAAGACCGATAATCATAATCGGTAAGATGGAAGGCTCGAATGAGAGTCTTACTTGGTAAGTGAGGATTGTGACTTTTACCTAGTAAACTATTACCATCAATTCATTTTGATGGCTGAGAATGTTATACCAGAAGGTAAATAAGAATAATATTTTTTACCGATAAACGTTTAGTAAACGATCCCTTAGTTTTCACTAAAGTTATCGTGTCTGCCTCAAGCTATTTTTTTAAAATTATTCCTACCTACTTTTTATATATTTGTTAACTTTCTTTTTTTCTATTAATACACTTTTCAGAATTTGAGGCTTAAGAAAAACAATCGACTGGGTCTTGTAAACCCATTCTGAGTTATTTTTGTAAATAGATTTTTTTGGGCACGAAAAGTATATTTACTAAACTTTGAAGGTACTTCGAATATTAGAAAATGTAAAGAACATCTAGCAAAAAATAAAAAAAAGACCCTCGAAATCAACCAAAACACCAAAAAAGTCTCGAAATACAAAAGTATAAATATCGATGACAAGAATAACGATCCAAATATAGGCACATAGCTCGGATGTCTGCATAGCTTGCAGCTTGACAATGAACACATAACAAGATAAGAGGCTATCTTTTTTTTAACCCACCAAGATGCAAAAGACAAGAGTCAGGATAATGTTCAGTGACCCTGAGAAGACTGAGACTGACGACCTATGGAGAAAACAATAAGAGGCTCTCTTCTAACAAGCTGAATGTTTCTTATTAATTGCATACGATCTACGATCTTCACTCGGGAATCATGCGCTCATTATCAGCATCACCTTCTCGCTCAATCGTGGGTTTTGATGATTCGTTAGCTTGGGGAGCTTGCCTTTTCTTGATTCCACTCACAATATCATCGATCCTTAGAAGCATACAAGCAGCTTCAATAGCCGTCTTGAAGGTCTGTGCCTTCACGTTGTAGGCATCCCATATCTGATTCAATGCATTGTTTTTGTTAAAACTTAAAGCAAAGTCATTAAGATGTGGTGGAAAATTAAAGAAATGCATGAACACCTTTTGTTCTTTCATATCTGCAATTTCACCTGAATTCCCATCGATTCCGATCCATGCATTATCGCATTTTGCATGCTGTAAAGAGGTTGTGAGTTCATCTGTCACATTTAGGCCTAAAAAGGGACTTCTATAATACAAAGGCACTGAGAACAATAACTTGAACCTAAAAAAGGTTTAGTAATAATACAACTGATTTTCATATATTTATCCTTTAAAAATACTGTTTTGGTGCAAGAAACGTTTATTGGTATTGATTACTAGTAAGAGTCCCCAACTTTAATTATCTTATCGGGTAACATTCTCGGCCATCAAAATTGATTGTTGGTAAATGAAAGTCTTCTCCCTTGTTTACCAGGTAAGATTGTCGGTTATTGCTATTACTCTTACCAGGTAAAATTCTTAGTCATCATGATGCACACCCAGTAAACTAAGTGACACCAGGTATATGACCCCTAAATTAATAATAACATTGGTCCAACTTACTTTTTCACATGAAAATTGCAACATCGAACATGAGATGCCATAAAAATCTTAACATTTGAACTCTTTTCAAGTTATAAGTGTTCGTTCATACTTGTCTTAAAATAAACAATTGAAAAACATTGTAATTATTGATGAGATGACAAAACAAAGTCTAGCTAAATATTAGAGTAATTGACTAAAATAGCTTAATGGCTCCCTCTATTCACTTTCTAATCCATTTTTTAATTGGACAAAAAGTAGCAAAGATTTTGCAAGTGACAATTTTGCAACTTACGAAATGTACTTGTTTTGAGTAAAATATGATTATACTGGGATAGGCTTGCAAAATTTCCTTGTCAGTTTACAAAACAACCTACCAGATTACATTTTAATATAAAAGTTAATTTTGGAACTTGCAAAATCTTGACTATTTTAGGACAAACAGAAAAAAGAAGTGGGCTATAAAGTGAATAAAAGGAGAGTCATTTAGCTATTTTGGTCAATTTCTTTAGATATTATTACTTATGATAGGGAATTTTCTTGAGTATGAAAAGTACAAAGTTTTGCAAGATAAATGGAATTCTTTTAAATGGAAAAATATGAATTATGGAGATCCCTAACAATCCTTCTGATTGGAATGAAAAAAGTAAGTACTTTTGATCTTTGTATACAGGTGTATGAATTTCTCTTTTAAGTCGTAATTAAAAAAATTAAAGGGTCGTTTACCAAACACTTACCCGGGTAAGCGCTTACCAAGTCACATTACCTCACCGGATGAATATGGTAAAAACTAAGAATCTTACCCGGTAATAGCGAGACAAGGACCGTGAGTCTTACCCGGTACGTGAGGGCAATGACTCTTACCACGTTAAGCGTTTACCAAGTGAATTGTTGCATATAATGTCGTTTTGATGGACTAAAATCTTACCTGGTAAGTAAATAATAATGTTAAATTTTACCGGTAAGTGTTTGGTAAACGGGCCCCAAGAGAAAGTTATGAAGGATGTATTTGTTATTCTTAAAAGAAATTAACAAGCAGATTTCTTGCCTTGCCCTGAAGAGCAGTCATAGTTCTGATGACATTGATGCCACAATTCTGTGCCAAAGTTCGTGGTATGGCCTCAAATGCAACAGCAGCAGCTTCATAAGGCCACTGTTTCAACCAAAAATTATAAAACCACATCAACAAAATCAGCAGTTTACACTTTATACCTTTCTTATAATAAGTCATTAAACAAACCCCCTTTTGGATTAAATTAGGGTTATTCCTGCATTGGAAATATAAAATAATAGAGGTTGATGTTAATGTGTAATTATGAATATATATATATATATATATATATATATATATGATAGAGGTGTTTATTTATCATGTCTTACTCTAAAAGGTCATAGTTGATCGTACAAGATAAAATATAAGAACATAAATAAAAACAAAAACAAAAACTTGCCTTCTCAATGCTTTCCATGGATGAGCTCTTCTGCTTCAATGTAGCAGAAACAGTCAACTCAGTGGCACCACCACCCGGAACAAGTTTTGGATGCTTTAAGATGTTCCTAGCCACCGACATTGCATCCTACCAAATGATAAAAAAACGTTACAATGATATAAACATATAGAGAGAGAAAAAAAAGTTCTCTTGCAAACCTTTTTTTTTCATGGGAAGACAAAAGAGGGCACGTGTCCCTGTTTGTTCTTATTCATTATGAATAATGAACGTGAATTTTTACAACATTGAATGTATAGGACATGTGCATTCTTTTGTCCCCGGGTTCATTACAGAACTTAAGTTTGCGATTGAATCTGCACAAATGTTTTTTAGGATGAGTTTAGTTATTAACAAATTAACCTGCAAATTCCGTTCCACTTCATTTAAAAGGTCCTTACTAGGGCCTCGGAGAAGCACAGTGCATGCTTTTGGATCTTGACACTCAACTATATACGCAAAGAACTCATCACCAATTTTCTTCACCTCAAAGAGTCCAGCCTTGGTTCCCACGTCCGATTCTTGAAGTTCATCTGGTCTATTCACGATCACAGCTCCACATGCCTTTGCGATCCTGTTGTTATCTGTTTTCCTTAATCGCCTGATGGCACTAACTCCGCCTTTGCTTAAATAGTGGCAGGCCAAGTCGCTAAGCCCTTTCTCTGTGATCACCAAGTCCGGCTTAAACTTCAGTATTTGTGCACACAGATTTTCTATGTACTCTTCTTCCATTTTCAGGAGTACTAACCAGTCTTCTTCTCGAACCAACTCTGCATTTGTCTGATTCTCTCCCTTTTTATACTCAAGAGGGCAATCGAGTAAAACAATCCGGGGGTTTACGATTTTTCTTCTCATTTTTCCAGGGGCGATGACATCTTTATTGATCATAACACCTTTGAGGACTTGTGAATCTTCCAACTGCCCCCCAGGGACTTTCTCTACCTTTATGTATTTCTTAATATCCACATCTCGTGATCCCTTGCCTCCATCGACACCAACCATTGTCGTTGCATCAAGTGCTAGATCCTAAAAGAAGACGAACGTGCTGGTCAGTGATATAGAGCAAACTTCAAAAGATAACCCTAAAATGCGGTTAGCGTGCATTTTTGGTAAGCCGGGAAGGAAATAGAATGAGAGTGAGGTAGGTAAGGAAAAGAATTCCATAAGATTTTCTGGTTTTAACTTGACGTGGTAACAGTACTTTACCAATCTTGTCGCATTTCTAATTTTTGTTCCACCTATTTGAATAGGACGGAAAAAATGTATTTTTATCGGACTCATGATGTCCCATTTTAATGTGTACTATTCCGTGTACCAAACCCACACTAAGGACATTCAGCTACTATTAGAATTATTGGCAAGATTATATGGATCCTGAGAGCACATGAACCAGCCAGTTAAAAAGCTTAACATGTCTTAAAAGACTAGTATTCAGGATCAACAACTTGACAAGCCTACATGATTAATGGTAATCTTGTTATAGAACTGGTGTAGTTAATATTCAAGGGTCTGATTTGATTTTATACAACTTTATACTAGTCCATATTAGTCATGTGAGGTGCGAGCCTGTAAGTCCATAGGAATGGAGCTTACATGAGCTGAACCAACTCAAGATTTAGCAAGTGAAGATCAAGCTTGACAAGCCATGAGCCAAGCCCGATGCTGCCAATGTTTTCATGAGCCAGAGCCAAGCATGGTCAGGCCAGTCTCAACTCATAAGATCACAAGCTACTATGTTCTGAGAAAGCCATAAACATCATAGAACAACTTAGGAGAAAAACACTTGGTCAGAAAAAGTTGAGACATCTCAGATTTCAAAAGAAGACCGTCCTTTCAGACTGAAAAGGAGAAAAAAGGTCACCTTTTAGATACACACACATATATATATGTATGTATATAGCGAAGTTGTATTCATTTACTCACTGCAATGGTAGATTTGGTATATAAAAAACAGGCAAAAGAAAGGGAAACATACTGCTATAAGATCCCCAAACTGGCTTGTAAATTTTGTGCCGAGACAACTCTTCACTGTACCCAACATCATAGAACCTGCCAATGGGACAAAAAACTAACAATATGAAAGATTAAGAAGGAAAATGATGATATGGACAAATATCAAGCATAAGAAGCACAGTTAAAAATCCTTTTMTGTAATGAATTGATMACAAACCCGAGCGTGTGTTGTMTCCTGTGGATRCATGCAAGTTCTAGTGTTTTGGCATAACTTATTTCACATTTGAGATAACAATATAGCTAAGTGGATGGCAGAAGTGGAAATCACAAGATTAAAGCTAGCATGGCTCTGTGATACCAAGCCACTGAAATTTTTCTAAATTCTATTACTATATCCTATTCTAAGGTCATTAGGTCAAGCCCTACTAATGCATTGGACTTGGAAAAAATTCCAAATAAGACGATAAGCCAAGCAACTTACAAGTTAATCGGTCTGCAAAATTATATATATGGCTCCTACACAATGATATGTTGAAAGGTTCAATGGAGTACAATAATCTTCAAGAAAGCAAATGTCTGAATTAGCCAAGTKTGGTTCTACTGAGATTGAAGATTCCAACAAACAATAATGTTTAGGCATTAAGAMTAACACGAGTGCTTACGATCATTCACATTGATAGACATAGAGATCTTGTCCAACACAGCAAGAGCATCTTCAAGAGCCTTGTTATAAGCTGTGAAAGTACAAAGTTTACAYAAATCTACTAATTTATGCACAAACCTAATGATGCAGTTTTAATATCAGCAAAGTATTACCTTGGCAAATGACGGTAGGATGATAGTTCTTGTCAATGAAAGCTTCTGCAACATGAAGCATCTCACCAGCTACACATTCACACTTTGACCATCAGCAAAATTAGAAGAAGAGAGATTCTATTGGTTAAAGAGTATCAAACAGGTTATCTAAACATCATTGTTAAACATAGGCAGTTTAAGACCCCACCCTATCATAACAAAACAAACAAACAAACAAAAAGGATTTATATCAAGTTCCCTTGAAATATATGTAATGGACACTAAAATCTCTATACATAAACATGAATGCCCGTGCTTTTCCGAGTTCAGACAAGGAGAGCAGAAGAAAAAGAAGCCAAAATGTCACTGGTGAAAACATAGGGAGAAATAGGTAGAGAGCATGAATAATTAATGCCGGCACAACCTATCCTTGTGACAAGTGATATTTACTCAAATCGAAGTCCATAATATTAGAGTGAGCTATTTCGCACTTATTGGACTACCCAGACAAGGATAACTAGATTTAGTATGTCATCTCCTTTTACAATAAATCTGCTTCAGCTAAATGCACAAAGTCGGCCTGCGAAACCTCCAAAAACTGATCATTTGTAAATGAGGACACTGATATGCCCATAAGCGAAGTCCTAACTTTAATACGATCCCCTTAAACAAAATGACATGTAATAATCGCTGAACAATAGGTGACATTAGAATTTAACAGATACCAAGAATGATGACTGATGTAGTTCCATCACCAACTTCTTCATCTTGTGTACGGCTAAGTTCTATCATGGACTGCAAATTTGAACACAAAACCAGGAAGTAAGAGTCAAGTACTAAAATATGCAAAGGGAAAAATTATATCCATAGTACATGATAACGCACAAAGGTCTACCTAAAGTTGGTGTTCGAGCAGAGGAGCTAGAAAGTTTGGTGTGATGGAAGAATGAGGAAACTCAAAAATCAAGACTTCGTTGGAAATGCTTTTTAGTAGCCATTGATTAAATAAATTACCTTTGCAGCTGGGTGAGCAATATCCAACTCCCGCAAGATGGCATTCCCATCATTAGTGACCGCAATTCCTGCCAACAAACAAGCACCAATCACTTGAAAACTCTAGGCTCAGGTTGACAGATGACATCCAAAAGTTATAGGGAGGACGATTTAATGGATAGAAAAAGTTGATAAGACCTGCAAGACAAGCAAAGAAACTTGTCTCATGAAGTGCTCACCATCTACAAATTCGATTATTTAAACAAAGAGAATGAGAAAGCTACTAAACATTTTAGTCACTAGGTATTATGCAGCGCATGGTATCACAACCTTGCATACAGTTGCACTGTATTCTCATTTACCTGCAGTTCATTTTAGTTTCACAGCAAGCACCCTGGCATTAAAGAAGAGACAAATGTTCCCGATTTGAACTAATAGAAATAACATACAAACATAAGCACCTCCTAGAGCATCAAGAATCATCTTTAACATAGATCTTGGGCCCAATGTAGTGCGAACAATGTCAGCCACTGCCTGCAATTTATAGAAGAGTTGGTGAATTTTGAGTTATAACCACATCCCAAGTTGCCATTCATGGATCAACAAATAATCATATTCCAATCCCAGCTCCCAACATTTCACGAACAGGATGTTTTGTAAATTCTATGCTAAAGCTTATGTGGCTTTCTAATTAAATCAACTACAAAACTGACAAAATGAACACATGTCATGATTTGCTCACCTTTGAAGCTTGGATATTTGCATGATGCACCTTGTTTCCTGATTCGCGTTTGAGAGAATCATCTGTGCATTTCAAATTGAATCCATTAGCAATTACTATGATGTAACATAATTTGGAGCTAAGACAAGCTTGAAAGCATCACACTGATTGGGTTCATAGTCCCACTAAGATGTAGTAAGAGTGTTATAGTATCTGGCTTGTATCATCTCTATGTTGTAATTAATAAGGATACAGGATCCTTTAAACTAATTTTACCCCCAATAGATCTCAATGAACTGTAACCATGCATAGATGGTGCTTATTTGTAACAATTTTTTCAGCCCAGTACATTTCTCTTTCTTTATCACTCAAATAGGAATATGTGAAACACTTTCAAAACCTTTTTTCTATATTTCTCTATTCTCTGAGATATTTCTCTATTCTCAAAACAAACTATGAGATTACTGAGTGTGATCATAGTTGTATATTTGTGAATCAATTCTATTTGTGAAGCAAACATCAAATCATCAGATATTATAAATAGAGCATTTCTGCATTAGATATGTCCGTTTGAGTTCATTTCCACTATTTTCTTACAGTTGCTGTAAACCATATGAAAGTATTTCACATGATCCTGCCTCATGGATGATAAGGAATAATTGGCATAAAATAATTGGCGTCATTTTGATTTTTCAAAGTATTGGTGCATTCATTTTCAACTAAAGAAAAACAATCCACGGTCTAATTGATGTGCATTCTAAGAAAAAGCGTAAGAATTCTGAATTCCCGAGGGTGTTAATATTCTTTAATCATACTGATGGAAGCCAATAGCCCAAAACCAACTTTGCATAACATTTTCGTGCATCTCATCCACATTCTCAAACCGCCATTTTCCCTTTGATTACCATTATCAAATTGATCGGAGAGAAATTATTTGGGCAAGTTGATCGGAGACAAATTATGATATCACAACATGTGGTCGTCAATAGATATTTGTGTAAAATGTCTGAGAGACATAAATATACTTACTGAGAACGACGACAGGTGATTGCATAGCTCAAGATGATGATACAACACTCAATCGCTCAATTGGATTTGGAGCTCAAAATTTGTCACTAGGGTTTCAATATTTGCCTTGTTCGGAAATAAGTGTGGGTTTGTCTCCAGACTCCTGAGATTTTGATAACATACAACGAACTGCGAGAATAAATCTGGAAGCGCTTTTTATATTTGCGCCTTTTTCGTAACAAACTGAATTTGAAAATGGCCAATTGACGTGGCTCGCCACACGAATGGTTTAGATGCATGATACATCCATCTGATCGGACGGTCCTGATCAACTCCATTTTAATTATTTTTAATTAGGGAAAAGTACAATAAAAACCAATGAACTTTCTTGTTTGGAATGATTAAGTCCTTGAACTTTTTTTGGAACAAATAAGTCCTTGAACTTTCCAAAATATGTTAAATAAGTTCTTGAACAATTTTTTTGCACAAATAAGTCCTTAGACATTCCAAAATATGTTAAATAAGTCCTTAGACATTCCAAAAAATGTTAAATAAATCCTTAGACAATTTTTGGAACAAATAAGTCCTTGAACATTCCAAAAAATGTTAAATAACTCCTTGGACAATTTTTGGAACAAATAAGTCCTTGAACAATCCAAAACATGTTAAATAACTTCTTGAACTTTTATAAAACATGTTGGATACATTCTAATGACTTGTACAACTAGTTAAAATGGTA